AAAACCAACCTAGTCTCTTTCTGCTACTAACATGGCCCAGTCTTTACTTGGTTCAAGTGAAATTATTTTGGTAAGGGGTGTGATATTAAAGCACTTTTCAAATAACCAGAAATAAATGTCTTGTATCTTTTAATTTACTACAGTGAAATATTTTTGTTTTAATTCTATAAATGATATCATTCAATTTTGCTGTCTATGACAATTTGAACCGCTTTTCTAAAAAAATTCAGTAGCATAGTCTCTCTGTTATCGTAGAAATATAGGGGAATAGTAATAGAAATAACTAAAGAATTTCTTTATTTGGCTTTGGAATTTTTCCTTTTGAATTGAAATAGTAATTTTATTGTGCTTTATATTTTAGAAAAAATACATTAGCTAAAATAATAAAACCACAAAGTTATCATTTGGCAGAACATCCCCCATCCCCACTCTGTTTCAATTTATGTCTGTCACCGATTGCCAGAGGCAATCTAGAAGTGCTATAATACATCAGCCTAAGGAGGACCACATACACTCTCTCTCACGTGAACTCTATCCCATTCCAACACATGCCCACCACCCACAAGCTCTATTTCTGTGGGATCCTTTCCATTATGATTCTTATATATCCATGGGTGAAAAATTTGATGTGCAGTTTTGGGTAAAAAGACATTTTCTCTTATATGTTCATTTTACAGATGAAGAAACTGGAGACAGAGAGGTTGAGTACTGCTTATAAGTGATGGAGAATGATTTAATTCAGTACTGTGGCTCTTAATGGTTTGATATATATATCTGTGTATCTATCTCTCTATATATGAATTATTTAAGCATAACCTGCCCTTTTCTACTTTTACCTCTTTGCTCAAACTATTGGATCCACCTAGAATGGTGGGATTTTTAAATCACATTTATGCAAAGATTCTACTATTTTTCAAAGTGTAAGTCATTGATACTTCTTCAATAAGCCATGTCAGATTCTTCTCTGTCACAAAATTATTTTCTTTTCCTCTGATGCCAATATTGCTTCTTTTATGCATTTATTTTGACTGGTCTTCTTCTAAACTGTATCACAAAAGCTGTATCATGATGTACCGGGTTTTTAGCAATCTGCTTTAGACCTATCCAAGATTCCATTATTCCTCTACATGAATGACATTTCAACTGCATGAAGTCTTTTAAATTTATCTCACATTTTTCCAATTAAGTTATTTTGTCTGTGCAGACTCATTCTGTTAGATGTTCTTCCATCCTCACCAAAATTATATGCATACTTCAAGATTCTTGTCAAACGGGACAATTTCCATCAAATTTACACAAATGTCTCTCTACAGCACAAAAACCTCACTAAATTTAATCTTTCCCTCTTTTAAAATGGTATCACACTTTTTGTACCTCTCCTTTGTTACCTAAAACTAATCTATTCATGTTATTCTTATCATCATCAGAAGCTCTCTTCTTGACTTCTCAATTTATATTAGACCCAATCTGTCCATTATACTTTTTCTTAATCACACTTTTTACAATTTATAATTATAGATTGCTTTTGTAATTAAGTGTGTCTTCTCATTAAATTCTAAGATCTAATCGGCTGGGGAATATGTTTAGCATAGGGCCTATATGTACTAAATGCTTAATAAACATTTTTATTGGTTGAATGAGAAAAAATGTATCACATTTAACTTACAGTATTTAAATCTCTTTATTTTAGGTAAGTGTGTTTTATAGGTATCTCTTTGTAACTCCTATAGTATCTGGCATACATTGGTTCTCTATAAATATTTATGGAATGAAAAATTGGATGAAAATATCATGAAAAATCAAATATCACTAATCTTCTCGTGGAATAGAGATTCCATATCCTGGGTATTCACTTTTTTTTTTTAATTGAGATATAATTGACATATAACATTGTGTAAGTTTAAGATGTACAACATGTTGTTTTGATAGTTTTACGTATTACAAGGTGATTCCACCATAGAGTTAGTTAACACCTCCCTCGTGTCACATAATTATCATTTCTTTTTTGTGGTGAGAACATTTAAGATCTACTCTCTTAGCAACTTTCAAATATGTAACACAGTATTGTTAACGATAATCACAATATTGTGCTTTAGATCGCTAGAAATTATTCATCCTCTAACTGCAAGTTTGTACCCTTTGACGAACATCTCCCCAGTTCCCCCACCCCCCGGCCCCATAGATATGTGCGGGTGTATGTATATATCATGTCTTCTGTATTCATTCATCTATTAATGGGCACTCAGGTTGTCTCCGTGTCTTGGCTATTGTGAGTAATGCTGCAATAAACATGGGAGTTCAGATATCTTTTTGATATCCTACTTTCATTTCCTTTGGATATATACCCAGAAGTGGAATTGCTGTATCATAGGGTAGTTCTGTTTTGAATTTTTTAAGGAAACTCTATACTATTTTCCATAGTGGCGGAACCAATTTACATGCCACCAACAGTGCACCAGTGTTCCCTTTCCTCCACATCCTCACCAAAAACAAACAATCCAATTAAAAAATGGAGAGAGGAATTGAATAGATATTTTTCCAAAGAAGATATACAAATGGCTGACAGGCACATGCAAAGATGCTTAACATCACTAATCATCAGGGAAATGTAAATGAAAACCACAATGAGATATCAACTCACACCTGTTAGAATGGCTATCATCAAAGAGACAAAAGATAACAAGTGTTGGTAAAGATGTGGGAGAAAAGGGAACCCTGAGTACCTACTTTATTTGTAATTATTAAACAGATATTCAAAAACATACATTCCATCTGCATAGGTAACAGGATCAGTGAAAAAGTTTATCTCAATATTCTATTTTCCCGAGTGTCTTAGCTTGGGATGCCATAATAAAATACCATAAACTGGATGGCTTAAACAACAGAAATTTATTTCTCTCAGATCTGGAGGCTGGGAGTTCAAGATTAGGGTGCTGGCATGGTTGGGTTCTGGTGAGAGCTCTCTTCTTGGCTCGCAGACGCTGCCTTCTCACTGTGTCTTCACTTGGGAGAGGGAAAGAGGGAGAGGATTTTTCTCTGGAGTTTCTTCTTATAAAGGAATTAATCCCATCATGAGGGCCCCACCCCTATGACGTCATCTAAGTGTAATTACTTCCCAAGTCCCATCTTTAAATACCATTATATTGGGAGTTAGGGCTTCACAAATAAATTCTGAAGTGACACAATTCAATCCATAGCACCTAGCTTTGGCCCAGATACAAAAGCTTCAGTAAAGGCAATCAAAGGATCGAAGACTCATGGATATATTACAAGAGACTCAATTGTATCTATGTTTCTACAAGCAAGGTAGAATTCCATACTAGAAATCATATATAAAGAAATTTTGGCTATAATGATCCACTAACTTTTATTTTGTTTATACTAATTACTAATACTACTTATTTACTTCATTATTTATTCATGTTTATTAGATAGAGCAGTTAAAATCTACCCAGTATGGGTAGCTTCATCTCAAGTATATCACAGAGAATCATTGGAGCCTTACGAGCTCTCACAACCATTATATAATCCAAGTGCATTTGTAATGATTCTAACACTTATAGATCTAAGTTGTTTCTTTATATTCTGTCAGCAACAATCATTTAAATCAACAAATATTTATTAAATACTAATTTATTGAGGACATAAAATCGTGTACAGCCCCCAGACTTCTGGAAGTCTGTGACGAGTCAGATACATCATATAGGAGTGCAGAGATATAAATAGGCACAATAGTAGCACATAGTAGAGACAAATAACTCAGCCTGGAGAGAGTGAATTAGGAGAAGAGAATTCCTTATGTAAATGATGGCTGAGTTTAGGCCAGCTTCCTCTGAAATAGAAACTCCACTTCTAAGCTTTTATCCTAAGGAGATATCACACAAATATGGAAAGATATATGTCCAAGTGGCTTCGTTGCTATATTTTAACAAAAACTTTGGAATAATCCTAAATGTTCATTAACATAATGAAAGTTAAGTAAATTATACACTTAACATATCTTGAATAATATGCAGTCATTGAAAGTGATAATATAAGGCTATATTAATTAAAAGGCAATAATTTTCAGGTGGTTGGGGGAAAAAGCAGGTCACAGAATGCATGGGAGATGCCGTTTATGCGAAATGGAATAACATTAAAATGCTGCCACTCTGTGTGGTGTAGTCTCTGATTATTTTTTACTTCTCTTTTGTTGTACTTACTTTGCTCAGATTTTAGTCATTTTCCCAAATCCAAAACAGTTATTTGAAATGTGTAGGAATAACAGATCCCTTTTAAAAGATGCATAATGTTATCTAACACCCATCCTAGTGACTAAAAGTAATACTTTGAAGACTTATTCTTTACTGCTTATTACAGGCAAATTCAATGAAGAAAAATCTTTATTTTAGAATTTGAATTAATATCTGTTAATAATTTATATATTAAAAAATAATTATAATCACGATTTTATAAACATAGAATTTCACTGCCAACACTAACAAACTAGGAATTAACTTTGCCAAAATGATGTAAAACGTTAGATATTTAAATAATTAAAAAGTCAAATTCTATTTATTTTTTTGAGGAATATTGGCCCTGCACTAACATCTGTTGCCCATTTTCCTCTTTTTTCTTTTTCTCCCCAAAGCCCCAGTACCTAGTTGTGTATCATAGTTGTAGAGTTGTAGCTCTTCTCTACGGGATGCCTTCTCGGCATGGCTTGATGAGTGGTGAGTAGGCCCGTACCCAGGATCCGAACCCACGAACCCCGGGCCACTGAAGCAGAGCACGTGAACTTAACTGCTACACCACCGGGCTGGCCCCTCTAATATTTTTACTATAAGTGAATAACTAATTTGATATTCTCATGTTTGTTTTTTTATTTCTTCACTTAATTCATTTTTAAAATATGAATATCATTCATACCTATCTATTTTGTAATCTTCTTCCACATAATTTTGCAGTTTTAAAACTTTGTGCAAATGAACATATCATTAAAAGGTTAACAGTTAATATAGTATACTGTAGTTTAATAATATTTTAGAAATTATTCCATTAGTATTAAAATAGCTGATATTAAAATGCCTTGAAATTCACTTTGTGGTAAATGTTACCAAGCAACTTGAATTAATTTTTTATCAAAGAACATTTAAAGCAAATATAAATTTACAACGTGGCTATGTTCAAAGCATTGACATTTCTATGAGTCAAGATACATAATTAAAAATTTATATACAATAAGTTAAATTTGAAATAGGATATTCCTTTTACACTAGGAACTATCTAATTTTATCACTCTCAAAAGCTTCTTCTTAGGTTCACACAAACTGTGTTATCCTCATTTTGCAAATAGAAAACAAGATGTAAGAAATGGTCATCTAGCTTTTTGATTCACTCATAAAATAAAATTATTTGTTCCTATTCTGCTGGATTTGGGGCTGTGGTATAAAAATTGAAGACTCATTTCTTCTTCTAAAGAAACGCAGTCTAAAAACATTCTCTGATCCTTCAGTCGCTTTGTGCCGTCTGCTACATTTCAGGAACACCTAATTTCTAGTTTGCTGTTTTAGTTTCAGCTCTAGAATCACCTTTTGTTTAACGTGTTTGTCGATGTTCCTCCCTCCACACATCAGCCTGAGTTAGAGAATTCCTCCATGTGCAGCACACATCACGGGCCCCCCTCTGTATAATAATAATCTTTCTCTACTTCACATGTTGCATGTTGACTTATTTGACTCTACTTACCCACTCAGCATCTGCAGGACCTAGAAGAGTGTTTCAAATAAGACTAATTTGATATTTTCCAAGAGTATTCTCATTATTTACTCAAAAGGTTTACACATTCTTACAAATTCTAAGGATACGCACTTCTATTTCTGGTGCCTTTTACTTCTCTAACTTCCCATTTTTCCTTTTTGAAATCCTTTTTACTTAACATGGAAGTCAATCTTTCACAAGTTCAATCCTCATTGAATCCTTAGAAGGCAGATGAGGGAGGTTATCAAGTAGTTTCAGTAACTATCTCTTTTTTCTCTCTTTGATTTTATTTTAGGAATTTTGAAAAATATAAAATCAGTAAAAATAAGCATTCATATTCCAATTTCCCAGAATTATCCACTGTTAATATTTTGGCACATTTGTTTCCTGTCTTTTTCCTGTGTATGCATTTATATTGTATCAATGGTATATGAATGTATATTCCTTTAAAATGTACACTATTAATCAAGAAACTGAATTGTCCCACATACACAAAGCATAATTAGATCCCCTCTTCCTTTTCCAGATATAATGACTCTTATAGGTTTGATGTGTAAACATCTAGTCCGTTTTTTGTTTGTTTGTTTTTGTGAGGAAGATTAGCCCTGAGCTAACATCCTCCTCTTTTAGCTGGGCTAACATCCGTGCCCATCTTCCTCTACTTTATATGGGACGTTGCCAAAGCATGGCTTGACAAGTGGTGCGTTAGTCCGCACCTGGGATCTGAACGTGCAAACCCCTGGGCCGCCAAAGCGGAGCACGTGAACTTAAAGATTAAGCAACTGGGCCGGACCCTCTAGTCCATTTTTTGTGTGTGTGTGTGTGAGGAAGATCAGCCCTGGGCTAACATCCATGTCAATCCTCCTCTTTTTCTGCTGAGGAAGACTGGCCCTGGGATAACATCCATGCCCATCTTCCTCCACTTTTATATGGGACGCCGCCACAGCATGGCCTGACAAGTGGTGCGCGTCAGGGATCCGAACCTGGGCCACCAGCAGCGGAACACGTGCATTTAACCACTAGGCCATGGGGCCGGCCCACCCGAGTCCATTTTTAAACGTTCATATTCATATAAGAATGGCAATAGATTTTATTTAGTATTAGTTTGTGGTTTTAATTAAATCGTATTATGAGACATGAACTATGTTACATTTCTTTATTTCACTTAGTAATTTTCCAGAGATCCTTCAATATTGTTACATATAGATTTAGTTCCTTTAATTGCTGTAGAGTTTTTGAGCCAATAGATTTTCCATATGTTCCTTATCCCTTCCTCCATTTATAAAACGTTTAGGTTGTGTCTTGTTTTTCACTGTCATAAACAGTGCTTCAGTGAAGTTTCTTTTAACATTTTGACATGTTTCTTAGTTTCCAGAAATGCTTTTCTGAGAAGGGCATTAGCAAGTTACAATAGTGAGCATAAGGAATATGTCTTTTCAATTTGCTGTTTACTCCAAAGTTGTATCAGCTTATAGCCCCACTCAATGATTTATCTATTCAGCTCTTTTAAAAAATATTTTCTTTCTCTTTATCTGCTCAAATAATTCATAAACTATTTGTTTTTCCTGTACAGCAGCTTCTATCAAATTTTAGTGCTCTTTAGTTTAAGAAAATTTAAATAAGACCATCTGAGAAAGACTTTATAGGGAGGAAAATACCACAGGGTTCAGTAGCAATCTCAAGGGATATGTATGGGAAATTCCAGGAAGTATAAACTCCATCTGCTTGGCAAAATGCAAGTTTACAGACAGACTACTCCAAACGTTATTTTAATAAATACTTCTTCGACAAATATCTTTTTATGTCCAAAATAAACAGAACACTGAGCTGTGTGAGTGGGAGGGAAAAGACAAAGTATGAGAGGAGAGAAGAGAGATAGATTTTGATCATCTGGAGCTTACACTATCTTACAACTAACTCTGTTACCAGCACTATATAGCTGATGCCTAGGCAGAGGTCTGTCTCTTCTTGTAGCACCACATATCCAGGCTAATACCTTGCCCTCTCTTTACAGCTTAATTTGATCCTACCACAAATGTCTTATCTTCCAGAGACCTTGAGCATCATCACCAAAATTTTCTGAGCCTTAAAAATAATGTTGACTGAGCCAGGGGCCCCATGGTGAAAAATAATTCAATTAGGTTTGTGAATATCAGAGGCATTTTCATTTTTCTGATTGCTCTCTCCACCAAAAATGATGCGGACTTTCTTACTAGCATTTAATTCTATTTGCCTCTTTTATGTATACCTATACTGTTTCTGCTCTTTATCTTTATATATAACAGCTGAAGTGAGTGAGCAAAGAGTAAATAATGCAAGTGTAGCATGTATCAGTTGCCTTCATAATTATGTTTTAAAATCCAAGAATACAGCAATTTAAAACATTTTTCAATGCTTCATTGTAACCCTTCTCAAAATACTGATTAGGCAGCACTAGGCCTCAATGCCCAGTGACTCTAACCACTCACTAATATTTCAGTCTTTCTCAACTACTTAAAACAGGTAGATAGTCCTAACCTATAACTGCATTTAAAAACTGTTACTTTATTTTGTCCTCAGTGATTCACCCATCCTTTCATTCGTTCATCAGTACAGCCTGTACATTTATAAAGCACCTAGCCAGACACTTTTATACTTGCTGGAGCTATATCACCGTGTAAGAACAGATTCCCAACTCTCTGAGGGCTCATATTCCATTGGGACTTTTCTTACCATTTAAAATTTCTCTTCATGTATTACATACATACTCATTCTTAATGACTAGGTTAAATAATGATATTTTTCTTGAAGGTCTTATTTCTTCATATTTAACTTCAGTTAAAATTTGCCAGAGAGAGCACGTGGCTTAAATAAAGATTTCCCACATGGGTGGAGAATTGCTTCTTGTTTCTTGCCTCGTATAACGCTCTAACATAATTGAGGAAATTCCACCATTGGATACTTTCAACATTTTTCTTCATTGCACCAAACATGGTAGAGCTCTATTTAATGTTCCATGCATGGAAAATAGTGAATCATTTATAATAACAGCTTAAAGTGGTCACCAAAAGAATTCCACTATAACCTAATATCAAAGTTTTCAACACTGTATTTCTATTTTCTTAGATATATCCTCTACTTTTAAGCCAGAAAGCAACTTTATTAAATTTAAAACATTATATCTCTTTTGTATCCCTTCATAAACCAATCTGTGGTGGAACTTTAGAAAAATGTTTCATCATTTTATTAATAAATTCTTTGAAAAAATTAAACTTGGAATAACATTTTAAAACTCTTATTATGTAATTTTAAAGAGCTGTTGATTGTGGTCATTAGTGGTGTTCACATATGTTGTGGTTCTTCTAGGCAAAGGATTAGACTGCAATTTCCTACCGCTTAAAGATAGACATGGCCACTAGATTTGTTTTGTCAGTGAAACCAGACGAAAATCTCATATATTAATTGAAGGTGGAAGGGATTGATTGATAGTGTCAGATTCCAACCTTTTATTTCTTTGCTGCAGAAATCCTATATGTGTAGAGATGAGGACTTTGCCATACTTAGTGCCTTCATAAATGGGGCCCTCCTGCCAATTCTTAGTGGATACACAGCATGAGCAAGAAATAAGCTTTGAAATATTGACCCAAATTTTGTGTTCTTTGTTATGAACTATAACCTTACATTAGGGGAAAATGATGATTTTTTATATTGAATTAGATCATAAAGAATTAAATTTATAGTTTCTTATGGTTTAGATTTACTCTTTAAATATTGCTAGATGATGCTCTGATTAAAGATCTCCTCATATTTCCTAGTAATTGCTTTTCTAAGTTGTAAACAAAAAATGAAAAGGAAGGAATGAAAAAAAATCTTTCTTCAGCTGGATCTATAGCATATGCCAAATTATCTCAGGATAGCCTCATCTTTACAACACAAAGATGATGCTCAAATAACGTTGTTTTAGTTTTTTGTGTTTTTTAAAGCAAAATTTTGTGGAAAACTTTACTTATTATATTTGTTAAACACTCACTGTTATTGAACACTATTCTCCATACTGGAGTACTAGAAACATTTTTATTTGTTAAATAACTTCTTAAATCCTAAGTTTTAACAGTGAAATTTTAATTGATTTTCATTATAATTGTATTTTACAGCAAAATATTGGAGATATTCTAAATTAGCTCTAAGTTAGCCCTGCAAAGTGGTTCAAGAAAAATTTATTCTTTGTAGTAAAATACAAATAGGAGTTGCTATTAACTATATGTTGTTTCAATAATGTACATTAATTTGCACAAGAAAATTTTGACAGTCTTGCAATAGATATCTTTTATTCTGTTTACCTTGGCTTTCTGAAATATATTTGATCATAGTACCTTTCTTTCATCCACCACCTATTGACAGCCTAAGAAACTAGTATTTTGCATTGAACAATTTGGAAAAGTTTAGTATTATAAATTTATATAGAGAAAATGAATTATGTGTAATTTGTAGTGTAGTGGGTTTTAGTATTTGAAGGCTGAAAAATTTATACAACTGTTGAGAATTTGATTAAATATAGCACTATATATCAAACCAAAGTTTAGAGAAAAAAGAAAGTTCATATCTTGTCTGCACCACTTACCCAGCTGCGAGGACTTGGCAAGTTATTTTAGCTGTAATCTTTTATTTTCCCTTGTTAAAGCTAATTGCTGGTGGTAATAATGCTTAGTACATTGAGGTTATAAATATTTGAGGTCTCTTGTGTAAATCGCCTACCTCAATGACTTGTAATAATTCTGAAATGCAAAATATGCATTTTCCTCATCTATTAAAAGATAATAACTGTGTCAGTTTTAGTTTGCTGTTTTCCGAAGTGGTTGTACCATTTTGCATTCACAGCAGCAATGTGTGATATTTCCAGTTCCAATACATTCTTGCCAACAGTATATTTTCAGACTTTTTAGTTTCAGCCATGCTAGTGGGTGTGTAGCTGGATCCAATTGTGGTGTTAATTTGCATTACTTCAGTGAGCATTTACTCATATGCTTATTTGCCATTCATATAATTATTTTGGTGTAGTGTCTGTTCAAATATTTTATTCATTTTTAAGAGTGCTGTTTGAATTCATATTATTCTTAGTGTGTTGTAAGAGTTCATTATAAATACTAGATTCAAGTCCTTTATCTGATGTGTTTTGCTAATATTTTCTCTGACTCATATTTTGCACTTTTCCTTCAATGATAACTTAGTTTTTAAATTCTAGATTGAGTCTTAGGTTCATTCAACTCCCTAAGATAATTATTTCATCTGTTTCCAGTTTTTGTTCTAGCATTTGATATGACTTCTGAAAATCCAATTGTTGTTGCTCTTTTGGATATAGTATTTTGTTTTTCTCTTCAGAAGCTTTAAGACATTTTATTTGCTTGAGTTTTGTTTTTTTCCTATCATGTATCTAGACGTAGATCTGTTCTACTCAGGAGCTGTTGTGTTTTTTGAACTTGAATAGGCAAGAATTTTATCAATTCTGGCATATCCACAATCATGACCTACATTAAAATGACCTTGCTCCCTCTTCTCTAATTCCTAATTTGTTAGGCTTTCTCATTCCGGTTCCATTCCATGCCCCCTAACCACTCATTTAGATTTTCTATTTTTTATGCCTCTGTGCTTTTTCATAATTATTTATTTCACTAATTATCTTTTCATGCTGTGCTAAACTGTAGCTTTACCTATTTACTGATTTTTAAAATGTGCTTTTTTAATTTCCTTATAATACTTAAACATTTATGTTTGTTTTGATTTGTTATTTTACAACTTTGCTTATTTATAAAACATATTTTCCATGGTCTTGATGATAACGGTTCTGTTATCAGTCTTGGGAATTCTAATTCTCTTCCTTTATGCTTTTGAACGTAATTCATGGTGGAAATTATTTTCTTGTGTTGTGCAATTTTGGATAAAGAGTATATTTTCAGTGGCACATATTTCTCCTGTGCAAATTACATTCAGTCTCAGTTCTGCTGATACAACTTCGGAGCATCTAACAGATGAATGGTTAGACAAACTGGTGCTTACATATCGTGGAATATTTCTGAGGGTAAAAGGAACAAACTATCTATATGTGAAACAACTTGGATGAATCTCTAAGGAATTATGCTATATGAGAAAGCCAACTCCAAAAGATGACCAGCTGTAGGATTTCATTTAAACACTCAGAAATCCACAAAATTTTAGAAATGGAGAAGAGATTAGTGCTTGCCAGGTGTTAGGGTTAAAAGCGAGTGGAGTGGTAAGGTGGCAGAAGAATGGAAGGAGGGAGATGGATATGTTATATAAAGTCAACAGGAAAGACCATTGCTGTGATGGCATTCTTCAGTATTTTGACTATAGTGATGGATATGAGAACTAACATGTGATAAAATTGTATAAAACTAAATAAATATACACATAGATACATAAGTATAAGCAAATAAAACTAAAGAATATTGAATAAGAGCTATGAATTGTATCAATGTCAGTATTTTGGTTGTGATATTATACTATAATTTTATAAAATATTACCATTGTGAGAAACTAGGTAAAGTGTGCAGAGGACTTCTCTATATTATTTCTTACAACTGCATGTAAAGCTACAATTATCTCAATAAAAATTCCAATTAAACACAGAATATATTAAAAAAAAATACAATCCACAATCTAGGAAAAGACATTTGCAACCCATGTAACTAACAAAGGATTAGTAGAGAGAATTTAAAGAAAACTCCTATAAATTAATAAGGGAAAGAAAAAAAATAATAGAAAAGATAATGCAAGGAAAAAAATTTTACAAAAATATATATTTTTTTATATATATATATTTTTTTATTGATGTTTTAATGGTTTCTAACATTGTGAAATTTGGGTTGTACATTTTTGTTTGTCCATCACCATATATATGACTCCCTTCACCCCTTGTGCCCACCCCCCAACCCCACTGGCCCTGGTAACCACAGTCCAGTTTTCTCTGTCCATGCGTTGGTTTATATTCCACATATGAGTAAGATCATGCAGTGTTTGTCTTTCTCTTTATGGCTTATTTCACTTAACATATGCTCCAGGCCCATCCATGTTGTTGCGAATGGGACGATTTTGTCTTTTTTTATGGCTGAGTAGTATTCCATTGTATATATACACCACATTTTCTTAATCCAATCGTCAGTCGAGGGACACTTAGGTTGCTTCCACTTCTTGGCTATGGTGAATAATGCTTCAATGAACATAGGGGTGCATAAGCCTCTTTGGATTGTTGATTTCAGGTTCTTTGGATAGATTCCCAGTAGTGGGATGGCTGGATCATAGGGCATCTCTATTTTTAATTCTTTGAGGAATCTCCATACCGTTTTCCATAGAGGCTGCACCAATTTGCATTCCCACCAGCTGTGTATGAGGGTTCTTGTTTCTCCACATCCTCTCCAACATTTGTTGTTTTTTGTCTTGGTGATTATAGCCATTCTAACGGGTGTGAGGTGGTATCTTAGTACAAAAATATTTTTGAAGACAATTCAAGAGGAAGAAATCAGGATTCCTAGTATACATAGGAAAAGTTGTCCAACTACACTAGTAGTCAAGAAAATTAAAGTTAAAGCAACATGCTATAATTTCATATCCCACAATTGGAAAAACTAATATTCAATAAGAGTATTAGTATGGATACAAGAAAAGGAAAAAACATATTTCTGATAATATAATTGTCAACAATCACTTTGCAGAAAAATTTGGCAACTCCTATCAGTGTTGAAATGTGTATATCATAAGAGCTGATAATCTCACTTCTGTGCAGGTGAATTTGGTTCGCATCCAACTTAAATTCTTGACCAAAATTTTTGTCATATCCAAGATGCCCAGGATGCAGCTCCTGTATTATTTACCAACGTGCTGCAAGCATGGGTTTTCTAAAAGAAATTAAAATGGTAAATTTGACCAAAATTTTTCTTTAAAAAATGTGTAATAAGTTACATGTCCTTTTATACATGTGAAGCAGCTGAAATGTTGGGGAACATGCAGATTTCTTTGATGGATTTAGAAACCTGCCATTTGTTCTACTAGTTGAGCTGGAAATTACTGTAAATGTATGTAGTTGAAACCAACATTGTCTATTCAATAAAAACACTCATTGATGCTTTGAAGTGTTATGCTGATAACTTAAGACTGTATTTGTGGATATGAGGTATTATGTTTTGTTCGTCATTCATGTCAAGTTTCATTTCAATTACATTGTAGCACCATATGATGAGAACCAGCCAAAAAGAATTAAACAAGACAGGTAAAAATTATAAATTGAAAAATGGGTTTTTAAGAGATAGAATAACATTCTCGGTCTATTTATATATTCTGGCACATTACTAAGGACAAAGGGTGCTTGAAAGAATTGGTGATTGCTTTTCTTCAGGCAAGAAATCTGTGCGCCTAATAACATGGATAGAATTTTTAAAGTTTTAAAAGCCATTATTAAAATATCTCATGGGCAAGAGAACATTTAATTTTATTTGTATCCCAAGTATCTAGCACAATATGCATTCAATAATCACAGATTGAATACAATGAATCAAACAAAATCATAGCAGAGTAGTAAATCTACAGATTTACTTATTCAGGTGCTGACAAAAGGCTGGCAAATATCAAGTTTACAAAATACCTAACTCTACACTAATCTTTCAACAATTCTAAATATATGGTAAGAAGTCATCTTGGCAGGAGTGAGACTAATTATAGGTTTACATAGGTGTCAATCATGATGTCATCAATCATAATATTTTAGAGAATGACTTATTGACCTGATGCCACCTGAATTCCAAGGTGACAAGTCGCTATGTGTAGCTGGCAGTATCTAACAGTGAAAAGAGATCAGGAAAAAAATTGAAGTTAGTGAATAGTAGAAAACAAGGGGCCAGTTTGATATTAACATGATATATATTTTTAAAATTCCAACAGTAAACTACTAACAACTGACACTCCAATAGATGATAAAATAAAAAATATTTCCATTAATATTTTGCATTACCTATTTCTGAAAGTATCAAAGTTAAATGTGATACTTAGTAAAACTAGATCTTTCCAGTTTTTCTGGGTAACTTGTAAATATTAAGAAATTGATCATGCATGAGAATAGGAAAAGACTTCCACTCAGAAGGTGATATATGTCAGATCACAGCAAAGGCAATATGAGGAAACCGGGAGGAACAGAAGGCACTCATCTCAACTCAATAAACAGGAGTAACGGCAGGGTAAAGGAGTTCTGTATGTTCTGTTTAGAATCATTCCTCTCCCAACGTCCATACTTCCATTGGGAGACCTGAAGAGGGAACTTTAGTGCTCTGTATCAACCACTCGTTTGCACTCCCCCTCACTGTATCCTCCACCAATACTCACAGCCATAACTCCCCCATCTGCCTTGTTACCAATAAATAAAAATCCCTTTACCCTGTCTAACTAACCCTCAAGAAACACAGAAGTTCCAGTTAATCTCCCATCCCCTAGACATCTTTTCTATATGAGTCTACACATCTGTTTTTCTGATCTACATTTCCCACTGTTCCCAAATTCTGAAACTCTTCCACTGAATCCTTTGGAACTCATTGTAAATACATCAGTAAAAATCTCCCACATTCTCAGCATGCTTTCTGATATAATCCTCACCTTCTTCCTCTATCTAAAACCTTGTTATCCCCTGAGGACACTACTTTTCTTGCAGATTCCTCAAGTGGTGGTTTTTTTCTTTCCCATATTTCTATTACCAAGGAGTTTAGAGGAAGAGAGATGTCTTCAGTACTCTCCATTGCTACTTCCAGACCATTCTTCCTCTCTTTTCTCAAGCAACCCCTTCCCTAGCTTTAAATTCAGTACCTTCGGACTACCCATTTAAGCTGTAGTCAACCATGTCCCTGGTGAGTATTTTCATCCCTTGAGAATTTTATGCCTTTTCACCAACACTACTCTTGTCAAAACTCTTGGTGATTTCTCTCTCTACCAAAAGGTTCTTTCCAGTACCCTGACTTCTCAATTCAGATTTCTCTTCCTCCTCAAAGACATTTTTCCTCCAAGTATCTGTGACACCAATTTTTATGATTAAACTTAATAGTCATTATCAATAATTATAAACTCCCCCAATCTCAATTTCAGGCATCCCACTGTCTGATCATGACTTCTCTTCTGGTTTATGCCTCTGATATCTGACTCCAGTAGTTCTTTGACACCACTAGGACCTACATCCATTGATCCTAATACCTTGATTTTGTCTCTTTTTATATCAATCAAAGTCCAATAGGTAAACAGAAATCATTTTGGGTATTATAGTGTTGCAGAATTTGCCACCCCAAAATGTCTCTCTTTGGGTTGATTATTTTTAAGAACAAAAGACTCAGTAAGAAACTTTGACCTTCCGCCTAACTGCCTAAAAGAATTTAACATAGAGGGCTGTTTTAGAAAGGAGATAACACCCTAGATAACTACAGTATAATATGAACTACACAACATGGACAGGGAGGAGCCTAGCAAAGCCCATTTGATTAAAGTCCTCTCCATGTCCCATTGTCTTTACAAGGCATGACAAACGTTTGTTTACCAAACATTTGCTTTTCCATCTCCATGTGAATTGCCTTCCTCCCCTTTGAAGTCCCAAACCACTACACCCAACATCCTCCTTTGTCTTTAGCTGAAGACAGTATTTAAGATGGAGACTTCGGCTATTTTAGTGAGTTACTCAGTTTCCCCAGGTCTCTCCCATGTATACATGTTAGTAAGCTTGTTTGATTTTCTCCTGTTATTCTGTCTCATATCAATTTAATTCTTAGACCAGCCAGAAGAATCTGGAAGGGTAGAGGAAAATTTCTTCCTCCCCTACAGTATTTAAATCAGATGGAATTTAATGCAAGACATTGGTTACAATGTGATAGAGAAGACAAGCAGGATACCATTAAAAACCCAGAGATTACCACTAGCAGGAGGGACTAACAGGCTGGAGGGACAAAAGAAAGAGGCTGCATTATTAGAGATCAGTAACAAGAATCAAACAGTGGAAGCTGGCACCATAGTGTGTGTGTATAGTGATTTGGAGACATAGATGTAAACTAGCACTGTCTGAAGTGCGACCCGAGATTAGAAGGAAAAAAAGAAATACCCTGGTTTCTTCTATCACTCATTCATTCATTGGTTGAACCCAGCCATAAGTCAGCTGACATGAGTGTCTACAAAACACATTCTGCAAGGTCAACTATGCTGCAATACATAGTAGGAAGGACAGGGAAGGCAATGCCTAACCTGAAGACAAATGGGCACTAGACTGAAGAGTCCACATCTTTTGTCACTCAGCACCCATTCTCACCTTTTGACCCTTATTTAATTTTCATCACTACTCAGTACTCTTGCCTAACATGAAGCAACTACGCGTAATACAAATGAAGATGCTCTCACTCTCTCCCAAACCAGGAGAGACACAAAATCCAATCCATCAAATTGTCTACCTCTGGTCCCTATCTAAAGGCAACATACAGCCTTTCCCATTAGATCCAGACATCATTCTTCATAGTCTGAAGACCTTTGATCTAAACTATAAAGAAAAACACTACGAATAATCTACATAAAAAAGAAGAAAAGAAAATGAAACCACACCACCCATCTGTCAGTTGTCATACTGTGGCGGCTGCATGCTGCTGTGATGCTGAAAGCTATGCCATTGACACTTCAAATACCAGCAGGGTCACCCGTAGTGGACAGGTTTTAGTGGAGCTTCCAGACTAAGACAGACTAGGAAGAAGGACCTAGCCACCCACTTCCGAAAAAACTGGTCGTGAAAACCCTATGAATAGTAGTAGATCGTTGTCTGATACAGTGTCAGAAGGTGAGAGGATGGGGATAAAAGACCGGGCAGGGTACCACTCCACTGTACAAAGGGTTTCTAGGAGTCGGGATTGACTTGACAGCACTCTCAACAAAATCTAAGAGAAAAAAGAAACTTTGTGGAATTGAATCCTTATGGGACATATTTACTTTCAATATCATACTAAAGCATGCACCAAATACAAATGAAGTATAATAAAATTCAATAAGGAGATATGGAGATGGGACACTCTAATTTCTCCAGGTTCTCATTGAAAACTGCTTTGAACAATAATAGCAGAAATTCTTCAGATTTAAATAGGTTTTAAACCTCTGTCCTAGAAATAATATTCTCTGAAATGCATTTCCTGTATGGATATTGCAGAGATTTTTGCTAAAAATGCTTGCTACCTCACAGCTGTTCTTTAAGCTATCATTCTGTCAGTTTTCTTTTAAACCATTATTTATGATGCAGATATAGCTTTCATAATTTCAAGAAGAGTATCTCAGATGAGAGAATAATACTAGAAGCTACTTAAGAGTGAAGCTTGTATCGTATTTTGGATTATGTGACCTTTTTATGGCTTTTCATGTTTGCGCATAATGTGGATACACGTGTTAAGGATATTATAAAAATTACTATATTTAAACTAAATTACCAGCATGAGCTCTTTTGCTTTAGATTATCTCATATTGTAGAGACTCAACAAAGCAATCTTTTAAAAGTTTGTATCAAACAACGTAACAGACATTTCCCAAATTGTTGCTAATGTTATATTCAAATTTGAATTCAGATAACTTACATGATGCAATGATTACAAGCAGAATATAACAAGCAGAAATCACTAGAAAAATATGTAAAAGAGCAAGAGTCATAGTGATTGTGCTGGTGACGGCAAAAGAAAAGGAGGTATCAGGGGTGATAGATAATTATCTGAAATATCTAGGCTAAATTTATGAAAACCAAATCAATTCTTCTGTCCCTATTAATTTTCATATTCTGAACGTCTGCTTAATATACTTCAGACTTTATTAATTAATTTGTCACTGGTTCTTTTAATTGGTGGGCAAATTCTGCCAGGTAAATTGAATTATTTAAACAAAGGTCCCTCCTATAAGGTGACCCTGATTTGTAGCCTTTGCTACTCCTGAATGAAACTTATTTTTCAAGCTGTAGCTACACTTAGATCACTTGGTTCACATATATTAAAAAATAAAACATTGCTATATTTAAGTTAATAACATAACCTGGCCTTTACAAAATATTCCATTTAATTCACCTTGGTATTTCTTCAAGACTTTGTATACATGATAACCAATTGATAATATGATGACTAATTCAAGTAGAAATAATGAATACATTTTTTAAATGCCAATGAACAGCCAGTGATCTAAGCTCCCACCACTCAGCCCTTACTACAACGGTATGCTTCATTCATTTTCTCATTTTCCGTAAAGAAAAGAAAAGCCAAATTTGCCTGCTTTTCTACACATATTGCTTAGATTTAGGAGCCCTGTATATATTGAGCACCTGTAAAATGCTATGCAGGAAAAAAACAAATAATGTTAAACCACTGCCCCCAAAGGAGTTCATAGTATACTAGGAAAGACTCCCCTATAAAATTGTGTTATAAAATTTAGAAGTGAATAAAAAACAGAAATGCTCATAATTAAGCCTGAGGAATATGTAGGTTTATTCAATCTGTGTGTATGTGGGAGGGTGGGAGCATAGAATTGTTTCTCAGGCAATGATACCTAACCGTATATTAATCTAGAACATTAAGTAGAAAGTATGCTCATCAGGAGAGGTGGGAAGAACATTCCTGGCAGAGAAAATAGCACAAACTAAGGAAAGGATGGAAAACAATTACGATTATGAATAAAAGCAAAAAAAAGATTAAATATAATGTGTGAATTATGTTAATAGAAGCTGTTTTGTGTTTTATCATAATATGTTAGCAGGCCTGGCTTTGTGGGCCCGCAGTCTGTGATGGTTTTAAGTGTCATGGAAGGGATCTAGTCAGTTCTTCTGACAGAGGAAGCCACTAGAGTGCTGTTATATGGGGAAAAAATATTGTTATGCATTGAATGTTTGTATCCCTTCAAAATTCCTATGTTGAAATCCTAATGCCCAATGTGATGGTATTAGGAGGTGGGGTCTTTAGCACGTGCTTAGGTCACGAAAATGCAGCCTTCATGAATGGAATTAATGTTCTTATAAAAGAAACCCAAGATCTCTCCCCCCGCCCACTATTATGTGAAGATATAAGGAGAAGTCTGACATATGGAAGAGGACTCTCACTTGACTGTGCTGACACCCTGATCTCCGACTTCCAGCCTCCAGAACTGTGAGTAATAGATTTCTGCTGTTTATAAGTCACACAGTCTCTGGTCTGTGGTATTTTATTACAGCAGTCCGAACAGGCTAAGACAGATATAATGCGATTTACACCTTAGCAGCAATTGGAGATAGTTATGAGTAAGGTATATAAATAAATGTATATAGATGATAAGGAGAATGTAAATAAATGACATGTTGATAAAGATGAGGAAATCGCTTCAAGAGTATTCAGGAGATAAATATGTGTGAACTTAGCAATCAATAAATTGTAAGAGTGAAGAAAGAAAGACTTCAACAGGTTGAAGCATCTTGATTCCCCAATATGCTAGCTTGGGTGGCTTGGTGTCATTAACCACAATAAAGAATATCAGAGGAGGAGAGGTTCACAAAGAACAAGGACTTCAGTCTTGAATGATTTTCATTAAAGTGTGTTATGTCATTTGAAGATATATTATAGGCTTTTTTTCATTAATTGAAATCAAGAGAACGGTTTAAATTATCTGAAGAGTTAGTAGAGGGTTAGAGGACATAATTACACGCTATGTAAGTTAAAGATAAGAAATATTCAAAGAGAAACAAGTAGAATAGGAAGTGATAAGAGTCTGCAGTCTCCATGGGTACAATGGGTGCCCAAAAAATATATAAAAAACATAGCAAATGCATCTGAGGTATTTAATACCGAAAAAGAGTATCTGTTGCATTTGGCAATTGTTGACTTTCATATGTGTAAATATAATTGTGTGGTGGATATAGACGACAGAGGTAGTAAAATGAGAATTGAATGGGATGTGAAGAAGTGGAAATAGTAAGAAACAGTAAGAAAATGTGTGAGAGAAATAAAAGGGAAAGATTATATAAAAGTCATAGAGGTTGTAGGATCATAGGAGCAGATTTTTATTTTTATTTTATTTTTTTTCATTGTGGGACGCACTTGAGGATGCTCATGGCATATGAGGAGAATCCAATAGATAAGAAGAAACACAATATACAGAAGAGCGGAGATAAAGGTAGAAACAGAGATGAGATGAATGATGAAGAAAGGGAAGCCACAGTTTCAACAGCTGTGATTTTTCTCAAGCTGTACTTTATTCTTTTTGCACAAGAAAGGAACCAGGTAATGACACTGATTCAAGATTGGAGTTTTCACTCACTTTATTAGTCAAAAAGAGAAGTCTTCCCTGCTGCCCAGAACCAGAGCACCTTATCATTTCCTTTCCACATTCTTCATGGTTAGGCAATGAATCACACTTCTGCAAACACTGTGAGGGCATATTCCATGTCTATTTCTCACTCTCCCGTGAGTATCAGGTCTGGCACTTAGTAGGTGCTCAATAAGCATTAGTGAAGAAAAAGGAAAGAACATAATTAAAGCACAAGGTGACAGACTCACTAGCACATGCAGCAGTA